TTATGCTATGTTCTGAAAATATGACAACAATAGGCCTCTAAATATATACTTATTTAAGATGTTTGCTCCATCAAGGGGGAGTTTGTTTTGTTGTGTTTTGTTTTGTTTGTAATACGATCATAATAGTAAAGGTACTGAAATTGAGAACTAGTGAAAAGAAAGGAGTATTCCACAGGGCTAGGAAATCTGGTTTTCATCCCAGCTTTTCCACCAACTTCGTATGTTTTAGTGGGCAAGTTACGTATAGTCCCTTTGTCCCAGTTCTTCATATATTAAATGAAAGACTTGGACTCTTCAGTCTTAAATTTTTGAGATCCTACAATATTATTCATTTCATTCTTCAACTAAGTTAGAATTTGATCGTTCCTTTATAAAAACGTTTAAGGCATATATTATCCTCAAACCTCTAATCTGCATTCTCCTTTATTGACTTGTAGTGTGTGAGTGTGTGTGTATGTGTGTGTATGAGGGAGGGAGAGAGAGAGGGAGGGAGGGAGGGAGAGAGACAGCCTTTAGAATAAAAAAATCGCAGCCTTGCCTGCAGAGCCTCAGACACACAAAGCACATCTCTATGAAGGTGGTGAGGTGGAATGTGATGCTAAGCATCAATAAGTTGAGTTTGGCAGATGTATATCTTCTGGTGGTACACGCCGCGTTGGTTGAAACTAGTCATTTGATGAATTACAGTTTACATGGTGTCAAAACTTCATAATCCAAAGTTAGTTGGGTATAAGGGAAAGAAGCCCAACTCTTTTTGTAAACATCTATTTCCACTCCTATTTTCCTCCAAGGATTTCTTTGAGGTAGTGAATATTCACTGTGTTATGCTCTAAGATTCAAACCATTCATCCTCATCAGAACTTACCCCTGAAGCTCGGTATGTCACTTACGGTGTTTTGCTCTTCAAGCATCTTATTTCTGACCACCTATCTTCCTTCTATTCTGCATCTGCTTGTTCTTTTTTCTGACCATTCATCCACTTAAAAACCTCAATGTCATCTCAGAGGCATATATACTGTACCTTTATATCCTGCATTTTTTAAGCCTGTACCAATTTTTATATTTTGTCCTACTGTCCCAATAAGTAAATTTATGTTTGTCAAATTGTATCTTCCAGATTTAGATATAGAAAAAAATATGATTATAGGCACATGTAGTCTCTCTAGAAAAGATTCCACAGAAAGAAATCTAGCTTATAATAATTTTTTAAAAACACCTAAAATGACCCCATTTAGCTCCAGCCTAA